TCTAATCATATTTTAATGAAACTTGGTACATAGGTGGTCTGTTAAATTTTGCAGACCTTAATAGTTTTACACTCAAGTCTGTTCTTTTTTTTTTTTAATATTTTTTTTGTGCCAGGCGACAGTTCCGGACATTGAGTGTCACTGTTGTCTCTCCTGACTTTTTTTCTGTATGTGCACATTTCAAGTGCTAGTGATGACACATATTTAGTGCATTTTGCCACAGAAGTCATATTCATGTTTGGGACTACTCAACAGGGCTGTGTGGCCATCTCTCTGTCAAATGGCAATTTGTAATGCGCTATCCTGGTGTCAACCAGGCCCGGTCGACACAAGCACCTGTGGACCTTAACCAAGGTTCCCCCAAAGTCGCATTCGTTAGTGAATGAATCGCGGCCAGTGGAATTGACTTGCCCATTGAGTCTGTGGCACACTCACCCAGGGTAGGGGTCGACCCTTTCATGTTCAGCCTAAGTTAGGATTTGATCTTGGGTCTACCGATCATGAGTCTGGTGCAACAACCACTATGCTACCAGTGACCGGCAAGTCTGTTCTTATTAATTACCTGATTTGCATAATTAGTTTTCAGCTTCAATTTTTTAAGTACAAGTAATTTTGAATTAATTTTTTAATGTGTCTCCAATACTCTCAGCACACATGAGGACTTTCTAAGCTTTCTTTGATTTATTTATGCATTAGCTGAATTCGTTACCACAATGTGCTTATCAGATAGCTTGTATTCCCTTTTACTCTTTGTATGAGTATGTTGGTGTGTGTGAAATGTCTGTTCTTCTGACATATCATCCCACTTGTCATGTTTCAATTAAACTAGATACATGTTCTGGGAAAAAAAAACATGAGAAAACGTCAGTTAATGATGTATATAGACAGTACTCGTAATGGTTATATCTGTAAAACAAAACAGGCTGTCCTGACATGTTGGAAACTAAATTAAAAGTAGTGACAGAAGTGAATTAGGTCTCTGCAGGATTTTATGACCTTATTTTAATATTATACAATTTTTCATTAATCTAGAATAACAGCTCTGTATGTGTACCACAAGAGCTACCATGTGAAGATTTGGAAAGTCCTATGAACTTCATGGCACACTATTCAACAACTAATTTGCATTTAGTTGCTGCAGTTGTTCATTCAGAAATAAGGAACCATTATTTTGTATTAACAAAAAGAAATATGTCAGAATGGTATGTAATAATTAATTTGTATCTGGTTTTGCTATATAACACTTTTGATCGATAATTACAGTGAAATAGTATGTAAATAATGTTTCTTGTAACAAACAGGATACAATGTCAGAAAGCTGACATTTAAGTATTGAAATTGTTTTGATGAGTTAATTCAGCAGAGTGTTTCATCATGGGGATCTGTTATTATTATATATTTTCTTTTATTTCAACAACCAGGGAAACCTCTGGGTACCCCCATGTCTATGAATAATACATTTGCCTGTAAAATTAACATTTGTGTGTAACAAATAACAATCATCAAATAAATACAAAATTATAATAAATATTTAACAGACTTTTTGAATTGACTATTTTTAAAATTATGCAGTAAAGATCATTGAATACATTGTGAAAGAAAATCTAATCAGAATCATCAGTGTCAGTTAATAGCTCTTGAATGTTTAGCAAGAGCAACATATAAAATGAGAACTTAAAGTTGAAGATTGTGATAATTATTTTGCTGCCTGCATAATTAATATTGAAATTTAACATTCTATGATATATTTGTGCATTAATTGGCTCATAGGGTACTGTAAATGTGATATCAATGTCCTAATGTGAGATCTCCCACACTATAGCAGAGAGATATCAGCCCTTGATGTTATATGCATGTATTAATACATGAAGTAAATAATTAATACATTTTTGTTTTGGATGTTTTTCTAGGATTATGTATGATGATTCAAAAATAAGTGTTTTCACAATGACAGGTGAGCTGTGGAAGTATCTCCAAGGTGGCAATTGTAATGATTCAATAGATATCCTTTTTATCTTGGGCATTAAGCCCAGAGCATCTTGTGTTCAAATTTATCCCAATAATATCTAAATGGCATAGATACCAACAACAATGAAATTCATGTACCCTCACCGCCCTGCAGCTATTATAAATATTATCTCTATAGGCTGTTAAGTATACTGGTGACATTACTAGAGATTTATATACAGTTTTGTTAGTACGAATCACACAGGATTGTGATCATAATTGCAGCCTATTTGCAACGTTCTTACAAGGATTATTACTATCACAATTTATTCATTCTGATTCTCAGTGTATTTAACAGACCAAAATATTACCCTTAAGGTCATGCCAAGGTCAACCATAGTTCAAATTTACAATTATGTCTCATTAAGAATGTCTTTAACCTTAACTTAAAACACTAGCTGCATTTTATGCTTTGAATAATGTATTCAATGCTGAACCAGTTGTCGATCTTGAGGCATTGAAAATTGCCTTAGAAAGGTGAGGTACACTTATTAAGATGGTTAATTTATTAATGTCTGTCATCTTCGACTTCATTTTCAATATTGCATTTTCTAGCCCTCACCAATTTCAATACTTTACATTGGTACTAATTGTGAGCATGGTTCACTTTGTGACAATGTTATATAACTGATGATAATACTTCTTGATTAATCATTATCATCAATTATTAGAAATCCAAATAAAAAAATTCTATTTACCGGTAGGTTGAAGTTGAAAGTAGCATCTGAGTCATGGATATCACGAACTGGTTGTAAGTGTATAATCTTTCTCATTTAATAATTTAGTAATAAAAAAAGTATGCAAGCAGGATTACTCAAAGAGTTATTGATTCTCAGGAGAGATTGTGAACCAATTCACCAAATTTGTTATAGAGAGAAATCTGGTTGCCATGAAAACAGCATGTTGTAAATTGTTTTTCATTGATAGCCCAAATTGTCATGACATAATGAAGAGGAGTAGCCTTGAAAACTAGTTCTAATCAGTTAGATGTATGTTGGTTGAGATCTAGAAAGGGCGGTTCAGTTTATTAGTGTCTGTTTGAACACAATTATTTTTCTTCTTCCACAGTTTTTTGTAACCCTAGAACTTGAACACTATTGTGCATTAACTTTGAACCTTCTCAAGCACATTGAGGACTATGAGTACTGGTGCACCTAACTTTCAAATTTTTAACTGGTTTGGTAGCTATTTTGGAGTGAAGTTATACAGGAAGTGGTTATTTTGAACCCGTTCTGAGGGTCAAGGCATTTTGAATTTTTAGTGGTATCATTATTGGTAATCAACTCTGCTAGGATTGCCCTTGAAGTCACTTTTGTCTGTCAGTGTGTGTGATTTCCAGTGTCTTCACGTAATTATTCTTCTGAGAAAATAGTGTGAATTTTCACCAGTACACATTATTTTTTTGCCAGGGCCGATTTTGTTGACTTGGTTAGTTCTTTCATACTCTCCCTTTAGTTTAGTGGTAAAATCTGAAAAAAAAATCCCTGGCCAGTTGCTGCCATGGCAACATCAAACAAACATTAGTTAGTCATGTAACCCTTTCAGTTTTGTTTTTTTCCTGGAAAGATGGCAAAAAACACTTGGAACACATTGATCTGAGATTACCGGTACCGGTAGTTTTTTTCGCATCTATGTATAATGCTTTTTAAAAAGGTCTGTGTGATTGGTCACATAGTTTGGGAGCCATCTTTGATTTCTTCTAAACAAGAAATATTTTTTATATGCCACATTAATCCAATTATTTTGAAATTTGCCATGTTTGTCTTCTTCAGACAGCAAACTAACAATTCGGATCAGATTTTCCACCTTGAATTTGAATCTTGAATTTTTGCCAAAACAGGCAACAATTTTGGGCATTTGTGTCTCATGAATGCTTTAATAGATCAATTTGCTATTATCATGTATGACAAAATAATAGAGAACAATAACAAATCAAATTGTCTTAAACTATGTGCATCACAATTAATTATATTTTACACAGTGAAAACTCAAGAAGTTTTTGATGCAGTTGATGAAACATTGAAGGATATTATTGGGTTGGAATCAATAAAGAGATCCATAAAGTCAATAATAAGAAGACATTCTTTAAATCTGTTACGAAAGGCTGTTGGTGGTAATCCAAGGGAGGAACCTATGAACTTTTTGTTTTTGGGTGGCCCTGGCACATGTAAGACCACAGTAGCAAGAAAGTTGGCAGGTAATTATGACTTTTCATCAATTAATTCATTTATAATTGCAATTTTGCCTAACTTAGTTGCAAAATAAAATTAAGCCATAAAACATGACATATTTTCAGTGGCAACAAATAAAACCATGTTACCATGTTAATTATTTGTTTCTCAAGATAGAAACAATTTCAACATTCAACTAATTTAATTGAAAAATGTATTAGAGGCAAACTAGCTTACACTATAAATATGCTAACTGCTAACAGAATGATGAATGATGTAACAGATGAAATGTGCTTCAGTCATTCCATTTGTACTAAAATCCTAAAATAAATATTTTTTTTATTTGTTTTCGAAAAAGTATATAAGATCTTGCAATAAAAATGAATGATTTCAATATTTGGTCATTGATGGCGCTGTTTATAACACAGAACTAAAGGTTCAATGACACTCCAAGATTTTTTTTTTTTTTTAAATTGAGCTTAAATTGTTTTCAGTTAACTTTATAACGGCTATTGCAATTTAATGAACCTAAAAACAATTTTTATTATAGTCAAAAGGACATCACTTTTCACATAAGAAAAAGATCTTTTTCATGACATGACTTTTCCATGAATTTTTTTGAAGTATGATCCACAATAAAATCTAGTGAATAACATTGCTTTGGTGTTTGCGGTGTACATAATATTAAGTTGTGAACAATTTGTTTGATGAAGTTGATATGTTTTTTAATAGGCAGAACTAAACTACATGTACATTTTTGTGGGTTAACCTTTTCACCTCCAGTTTCCTTTTTTCATCACAAATTTATAAAATAGTCCCGTTTATAGTCTGCACTTTCCTTTAAAAGATTGTGACAAAAATAGCCAAATATTGTCAGTTGGCTCTAAAATAAGGGTTCATTTCCAGAAGAAATTTAAAAAAAAGTGCAGAAATATTTAGGCAAGAAATTCTAGTGGTGAAAAGTTTAACAACATTTTGTCTTGAGGCCTAATGACTTTTTTTTTAAATGTTTGTTTCAAAATTCATACGTAGTTTTCAATCAATTTTTTTTAATTTATTTACCAATGCAAATGTCTTTTCATTTTTTCCTAAATTTCAGAACTGTGTCTAATTCACTTTAGCAATTTCAATACTCATTAACTCTGTAATCTTTGACATGGAGTTATGTATTTGTTAATAGGTTGCCTCAACTTAGCCGGAATAATTGATAAGAACATAACCATTGAAGTCCAGAGAGACGACTTGGTAGGGGCGCATATTGGGCAATCAGAGGAAAAAACAAACAAGGTTATCCACAGTGCCAAAGGTGGTATACTGTTTATAGATGAAGCCTACACACTTTTCAAGGCTAGACGTGTCAATGATTTTGGGGTAGATGCCATAAATACCCTAATGAAATACATGAATAATGATATCCCGACATATAGTGGGTCATTTCCAATCATAATTTTGAGTGGTTACACTCAGCAAATGGAAATTTTTCTTAACTCCAATCCTGGATTAAGAAGAAGGTTTTCGTACACCTTGGTATTTTCCAGATTACAATCCTGCTGAACTTTCAAACATTTTTGTTAACGAATGTATGAAGCAAGGATTTATATTGGAATCATATTGTCAGCACAGGGATTTTCTTACCAAGGCATTTTCTATGTTTCCATTAGCACTTAGATCAGCTATGAATGGATCATTATGTACAAAGTTATTAACATCAATAAAAGATTGTATTGATTCCCGACTTGAGGAAACGCAGATAACACACTGTTCAAACATCAGTATTCACAATACTTTAAACCAGATAACAAATGACGATATAATGACATCAGTCAGCCACATGTGTACAAGTGTCAGAGAAGTGCCATGTATGCCTGAAGACACACAGACTAATTACACGACTTTGGAGACTGACACACAGACTGATTACGCGACCATGGAGACTAACACACAGACTGATTGCACAACTTTGGAGACTGAGACACAGACTGATTACATGACTTTGGAGACTGACACACAGACTGATTATGCGACTTTGGAGACTGACACACAGACTGATTACATGACTTTGGAGACTGACACACAGACTGATTACATGACTTTGGAAGACTG